GAGCCACATCCCAGCCCCTCACTGGGGGATTCTAGGCAGGTGCTCTACCACTGAGCCACACCCCAGCCCCTCACTGGGGGATTCTAGGCAGGTGCTCTACCAATGAGCCACACCCCAGCCCCTCACTGGGGGATTCTAGGCAGGGGCTCTATCACTGAGCCACACCCCAACCCTCACTGGGGCATTCTAGGCATTCTAGGCAGGTACTGTATCACTGAGCCACCTCTCCAGTCTCTGTGCCAACTTCTTGTTTATTACTTTATTATTTTCTTGGCCTCAACTGGTTAAACAGTATCCAGAGACTGGAATCCTTTTAAGAGATTGCAGTGTATAAGAAAAGGAACCTGAATGGGGGCTAGAGAAATGACATTGGTTAAGAACATTTGCTGCTCTTCCAAAGGACTGGGTTCCATTCCTAGCATCCACATGTGGCTCAAACTGTCTAACTCCAGTTCTGATGCCCTCTTCTGGCATCTTTGGGGGCACCAGCCACACACATAGTGCACAGATATAAATGGGAACAAAACATCGATACTCAGGCTAGAGAGATGGTTCAGAGATGGCTCAGTGAAGAGCACTGGCTGCTCTTCTAGAAGCATGGCAGCTCACAACTGTTTGTAACTCCAGTTCCAGAGGATCTGGCACCTCTCACAGACACACATGCAAACATCAGTGCACATAAAAATAAATAAAATTAAAAGAAAACAAAAACATTAGAGGTGGGCCTGGTGGGGCAAGCCAGCAGATTAAATTTTATTTTATCCCAGCAGATTAAAGCGTAAGCAGAGGCAGGCAGATCTCTGTGAGTTCAAGGCCAGCCTGGAATCTACGATAGTCAGGGCTCTTATTACACCGAGAAATCCTGTCTCAAAAAAACAAAACCAAACAAACAAAACCAAAACCCACTATATTCATAGATTATAAGTTAACTTAAAAAAAGACAGGAGGAAGAGGGAAAGAAAGACCTGGAAGTTTGGTGATGAGGCTGGTCAAGAGGAAGTAGGTTTAGCCTGTGTCCTTGTCCTGACACTGACTAGCCCATGCCTGAGGCTCTGGCTTCCTAGCTCAGCAAAGTCAGCCATCTCTTAGGAAGCACTAGCTGTATACAGCTGTCTTTCCATATCCAGGGGTCTCTGGTACCAGAATACCCCACGCTGCCATGGACACCAGAATCAAAGCATGATGAAACCATTTCTCTGAAATATGCCTGTACCTTACACACCTCCGCTAGCCCACTTTAAACGCCAACACAAATACTGTGTTAAATAGTTCTCCTGTTGTAAGTAATGGCAGATGTTCATTACAGATGAGTGATCTGTTTTGCAAGTATTTTAAATGATCTGGAGTCGTTCCATGTGGTCCAATCTGGGCTTAAACTCACCATCCTCCTGCCTCAACAATGTGAGTTCAGAATGAAAGGCATGGCCAGCCACCTGTCTCAGTGAAGGGAGTTGTGAGGACAGATTGGAATCTGCAAGAATGAGCTGGGTCGTGCTTCTGGTGACTGACATCAATGCTAACATGTACTCCGCAAACTGCTTTCCCCTCTGCAAATGGAGATATCCTAGCTCACAGTTGTTGGGTTTATTAAGTGGGACAGAACTTTCAAACAAGCTTAACTGGGTTTGGAGACCATTTTTGACTTGCATGCACTGAGCCCAGGGATGACCGACCAACCTTTGTGTGATGTGTGCATGTGTGTGTCCCGGCCTCTGTAGAGAGCAGAGTTGACATTGGGCGCCTTCCTTAATTGCTCTTCGCCTTACAATTCTTTTCATAGTAAAAAAAAAAAAAAAGATCTAGAGTCGGCCATGTTGGTGCATGCCTTTAATCCCAGCACTTAAGAGGCAGAGAGACAGTTGGATTTCTGAGTTCAAGGCCAGTCTGATCTACCGAGTTCTAGGACATCGAAGGCTATACAGAGAACCCTGTCTTGGAAAACCAAAAACAAATAAATGAAATAAAGAAATGACTAAATGAAGTAAATAGAGAAATAAATAAAATGTGGCCTACCAGTGCATTCAGTGCCCAGAGGTCAGTAGAGGGCCCTGGCTCCCAGAAATGGAAGTTAAAGATTAAGAACATGCTGGGAACTTGACCTTGGTCTTGTGCAGGAGCAGCCAGCGCTCTTTCCAGCCCCATACTGTACTTTTAAAAAGATTTTACATTTCTGTGTGTATGTCCTTCTCTTTGTATGTACATCTTCATGTGACTAACCCTAGAGGCCAGAAGAGGAAGTTGGATCCTCTGCCTCCCACCACTGGGCGCTGCGGTTACAGGTGCATGTCACACTGGCTTCTGTGTGGGTTCTGGGGCTTGAACACAGGTCCTCAAGCATGTGGGGCAAGCATTTCACAGGCATCCACCACCCCAGCTGCACTTAACCTTGTTTTCAAAAGCGACCCCGTTTAGTAAGACTAAGAACTGCAGAAGACTAACTTCTCTCACTTCCTGAGGTGAAAACTGATGCTCAGAGAGCCTATAAGCACGCTAGGGTGTCCTGGACGTCAGCTTAGTGTTCTGTCAGCTCAGGCTGTGAGAGATGGTGAATCGGATGCGTGTCAGGAAGCTGTCGAATGCTAGGGTTCGGGGCGCTGACAGACACCTGGTGGGAACTGAGGTCAGCTGCTGCAGGTGTTGCTGGCGATGCACACGGAGTGCCTGCAGGGAGCACTCTGCAAAGTTGTTTCCTGGCCTCCCCTTCCGGGGGCTTTGCAACTTGGCTGCGAACAGCGCTTGTACTAGCTTCCCGCCCATTGCTCCCTATCTTCTGTTCCCCTTAGTCTCCCCGAACTCAGGTCTACCCAGCACCCCGGCCTTCCTGGTTGGCTTGAGGGCGCCTAACGCACCCCATCCTCCTCAGACACCCCCAGCGCCCCAGCACCCTTGATGCCTCCCGTCTCTCAGGCACACAGTTCCCACACACCGCGAGCCGTCCATACCTTCGCGCCCCGGCTGCAGCTTCCTGGGCGGGACCTCACGCTGGAAGCGAGGGCGGGACTTCCGGCGGCGGGACTTCCGCCCGCAAGTAGCTATGGCCTGGTGAGTGGAGTTTCGGGGTTGACCTGCACTGAAAGGGCGTCTGCCTCGGGCGTGCGCGGGGCGGGTGACAGCAGTTGGGAGCTCAGTGAATTGGGTCGCAGAAGGGCGAAATAAGTGGGGACATGGCTCAGCGGAGAAAGCATGCTTGAGGATTGGAGTTCCGATGCCCAGAACTGACAGTTCTGGGCTTGTGTGCTGACCAAATGTGACGCCAGTGCTAGGGAGGCTAGATACACCGGCTGGTTGGCGACCGTACCTCAATATGTAAGGTAGAGGGCAAGCCAGAAGGACAGCCCTAGTCGGCTTTGGGTCCCCATTTGCACGCAGGCCTTCTTGCCTGCCTCTGTGTGATGTCCTCCTGCTGACTCCTTTCTCTCCACCAGGTACGCGAAGCTGGTGGGCATTCCCCTGAGGGTTCAGAGGTTCCACACAGCCGCGTGTCACCACAAGGGCCGGACTGGCGCCGAGCACCAGTGGCTCACGCGGCATCTGAAGGACCCGTTTGTGAAGGCTGCAAAGGTGGAGAGTTACCGCTGCCGCAGCGCCTTCAAGCTCCTGGAGATGAATGACAAGCATCACATCCTGAGGCCTGGTCTCCGGGTGCTGGACTGCGGGGCGGCCCCGGGAGCCTGGAGTCAGGTGGCAGTGCAGAGAGTCAACGCCACGGGCGCAGGTGGGCCCTGCCTGTCACCCCCAGCTCCTCGGGCTGCCATGAGCCGGAGGAATGTTAGCGAGCAGCTCTTTACCCAGAGACAGTTTTTGAGCAGCTTTCTAAGTTGGTTTAGAGATGATAGAGAAGTAGGTCACGGGGCTGGGGACCGAACAGCTGCTAAGTTAAACAGGTGTGCGCCGCAGGCCTGTGATCCTAACTTTTGGGTGGTGGAGGCGGGAGGATTGGAAGTTCAAGATCACCCCAGCCACTTGTGTGGAGTCTAGCACGTGAGACCCTGCCGCTCAGAAAAAAAAAAGGCAGCGGTGAAGGATTGGTGGTTCTCAACAGGTGGGGCTCGACCCCTCTGGAGATCATAGGGTATTTACGTTCTGATTCATAACGGTGGCAAAATTACAGTTTTGAAGGAGCAACGAAATGATTTTGTGGTTGGGGGTCACCACAACGTGAGGAACTTGCCACATTAGGAAGGTTGAGAGCCGCTGGCTTAGTGGTTAAAAAGGTGCTTGCCACCAAGCCTGATGGTCTGAGCTCTCCAAGACCTATATGGTGAAGGAGAGAATTGACACTTGAAAGGCGTTTTGGCCTCCACAAGTATGTCATGGCTACTTGTATACACATATACCATTAAATAAACAAAATGTTGTTTAAAAGAGAAGAAGAAAACTAAAAATAGACCGCGTGACCTGGCAACCAGCCTGGGCTCTGTACTGCTCTCTGTCTCAAAACAGACAAACAAAAAAACAAAAAACAAAAAACCCACAAAATTCAACAGTAGCATCTAGTTTGCTTTCTGTTGCTGTGATGAGCACTGACCAAAACAACTTTCTTTCGGCTTATCTGAAGAGAAGGCGGGGCGGAAACTGCGGCAGAGATCGTAGGGCCCCTCTGCTCACTGTCTTGCTTCTCCTTGCTCGCTCAGCCTGTTTTCTTACAGAACTCAGGACCACCTGCCCAGGGCTGGCACCGCTCAGAGTGGGCTGGCCCCACATCAGTCATCAATCAAGAAAAATGCTGTCTAGCCCAGTCTGAGGAGGCATTTTCTCAGTTGAGGTGTACTGTTACATATTATCCTATCTAGACGACCTGCCAGGAGTGTTAAACCACATCCTGTGATTGAGCTTCGCTGGAGCTTTTGTTTTTATTTTTTATTTTTGTTTTTTGGAGACAGGGTTTATCTGTGTAGCCTTGGCTGTTCCGGACTTGCTTTGTAGAAAAGGATGGCCTAGAACTCACAGAGATCCACCTGCTTCTGTCTCCTCAGTGTTGGGATTAATGGCACGTGCCACCACCAGCTGCTTAGTGTGTGTGTTAATAGGGACTTAATAATATGCTCTGTGTCAAATGGTGCCCAAAGAGGAAAGAGAAAACAGCCACACCTGTGACCCTAGAACTCTGATGGTGGAGGCAGCAGGAATTCCAGGCCTAGTCATAGGGTCTCAAAGAACCAGCAGCCAGAAAGGAAGGGCTCTTACGGAGGAGTCTGTGAGAGGACTTTGTATGGTTCCGGGCACCCGGGTCAGGCAGTTCCCAACCTCCTTAACTCTAGTCCAGGCCCGGGACTCTACAGGCACCTGCGCTTAAGTGCGCATTCACATGCGCAAACATACGTGTAAATAAATATAAGTCGAAAAACTAAAACATCAGCAGAGCATGCTCTCATATGCCTTTGATTCTAGTACTTCAATGGCAGAGGGGTCAGTTCTCTGAGTTTAGGGCTAGCCTGGTCTACACAGTGAGGCTGTCTCATCAAAAGTATACAAATAGGAAGGCCTGTTGGGAGCTGGGTGTGATGAAGCCCACCTGTAACCTCAAGTGCTCACTGGGTTAAGACCATAGCTTAAGTCTTGGGCCAGCCTGGGCTACCTAGTGAGAGTCCCATTTTAGAACCAAAACACAAAAATAAGTTATTTGGGAGAAGAATCTTTGTAGAGAAGAGGAGCTTGGGGTAGTGAACTGACCGGGAAGTGGGATTTAGCACCTTGACTGACTGTGGTCCAACCTCCGCTATCGCTCAGGATGGTCAGGAGACTAAAGGGATTAGAGGACACCCTACCCCACACCATCGGTCTTTTATCAACTTTGACAGACGGGTCTCACATGGTAGCAGCTGGCCTTGAACTTGTGACAGTCCTGCCCTCCGGCTCCCAAGCCTATGCCATCACGTTTCTCACAAGTCTTCAGACTAAAGGCTTCTCTCCGTGGTCCTGGTGCCCGTCTAATGCAGCTTGTATTCTGGTGGGGAGACGCCTGGTATGACGGTGCTTTGTTCTGTTGCAGATCCCAGCTCTCCTGTGGGCTTCGTGCTTGGGGTCGATCTTCTTCACGTATTCCCTTTGGAAGGAGCAACTTTTCTATGCCCCGCTGATGTGACTGACCCCAGAACTTGCCAGAGAATTTTAGAACTGCTTCCCGGAAGGAGAGCGGACGTGATTCTGAGTGACATGGCACCCAACGCCACTGGCATCCGGGGCCTTGACCACGACAGGCTTATCAGCTTGTGCCTTAGCCTTGTGGACTTGGCCACGGACACCCTGCAGCCCGGGGGCACTCTGCTGTGTAAAATCTGGGCGGGAAGCAGAAGCCACCTGCTCCAAAGGAGACTGACCCAGGAATTCCAGAACACAAAGGTCGTGAAGCCCGAGGCCAGCAGGAAGGAGTCTTCAGAGGTGTACCTCTTAGCCACACAGTACCGTGGCAGGGAGGGCTGTCCGAAGCACTGAGCCGGCCCTGCCCTCTGGGCACACCTCCCTGAGCAGGGCTGGGATCTGAGCTGCACTGTGGGTATGAACAGCACCCTGAGGTCTTTAAAGAGATGAAAAATGATAAAAATGGGGCCAGCACGATGGCGCAGTGCGCACAGAGGCTCACTGCTCGGCCTGATGACCTCACGTGTGCGAGCACAAGTAGGTGCACACAGTGCGAACACACGCATCGCTGTGGTTAGCTTTTGTCGGTTTACCACAAACTTAGCGTTATCTGGGAAGAAAGGCCCCGACTGAGGAATTGCCTCTGTCAGGTTGGCCTGTGGGCAAGTGTGTGAGACATTTTCTTGATCGGTGATCTAAGTGGGAGGGCGCAGCCCAGTGAAATCGTGCCACCCCTGGGCAGGTGGTCCTGAGTTGTGCAAGAAAGTGGGCTGAGCAAGGCACGAGGAGCAAGCCAGAAGGCACACCCACCTGGTCTCTGCTTCAGTTACTGCCTCAGGTTCCCACCTTGAGAACCCACCTTGACCTTTTCAATGACAGACTTGTGTCAGGATGAGCAGGCCAAATAAACCCTTTCCTCCCAAGGTTGCTTTATGTGCCGGAAACAAAATACAAAGCCAGTCTTCTCTATCAGGATTTTATTTTTCAGGCTTTTGTTTGCTTTTGAGATTGGGTTTCACTCTATGGTCTTCCTGCCTCGCCCCCCAAGTGCTGAGATTACACTGCTACACCTGATTCTTACCATTGGCAAGGTTATGAGGAAGATAGGTGGAGAGCGAAGGATTAAAAAAAGCAAAAAACAACTAGGCAGTGGTGGCACGCGCCTTTAATCCCACCACTCAGGAGGCAGAGGCAGAGCCAGGCGGATCTCAGTTCTGGGCCACCCTACAGAGCAAGTTCCAGGACAGCCAGGGCTACACAGAGAACCCTGTTTGGAATAAATAAATAAATAAATAAATAAATAAATAAATAAATAAATAAATAAATAGATAAATAAATAGATAAATAGATAAATAAATAATGAAATAAACGGGTAGATGGGGAGAGAGCTGTTGGGTTGGGATTGAGAGTCTGCATCAGAGAGCCTGAATCTTGAAAATAACTGTATGGTTGATGGAGGGAGAAGGACCATAGATTTGTTGGGCTGGGATCGAGGCTCAGCAGCAGAGAGCCTATCTGGTGTGTGAAAGACTCCAAGGAGATCCCTAGCACCCCCAAAAACAAAAACAGAGCTGGTATTCATGCTGTGATACTCCGGCTCCAAGGACCGAAGAGTCCTTGCCAAAGCCAGCGGCAAAGCACTTCCTCTGACCTTCACCCAGCTTGAATTGCGTGGTTATCAGCATCTTTGAGTGTGTGTGTGTGGCGTTGGTGCACGCATGGAGAAGCAGGGCTTGTCATCTTTCAATTACTTCATTTTATTTACTGAGACAGGTTGCTTTCTGAACCCTGATTAGGCTAGATGGGCTGGGCGGCGAACTCTCAGAATCCCAGAACTCTGTCCTTTGACAGTGTCGCACAGGTATAATGTGCATCTCTGAACCCAGAAGCCCCTTACCCCCTCCTACGAGCCCCTTTTCCCCGTTCATGTGTTTGTTGGGCCAGGAGTCTGTGTGATCCTGGGTTTGAGCTAGGAAGGCCTGGCATTCAGCCTGTAGTCCATCACATGGGAGGCAGAGACAGGGACTCTCCACAGTAAGCTATTCAGCCAGATTAACCAAACCTGTGCTGGGGTTCAGCGAGAACCCCTGCCGCAAACAAAACATCCAACCAACCAACCAACCAAACAAACAAACAAAAAACAGGCCAGGTGTGCTGTCACACACCTGTAATCCCTGCACTCTGGGAGGCAGAGGCAGGAGGATCTCTGTGAGTTTGAGGCCAGCCTGGTCTACAGAGTGAGTTCCAGGGTAGTCAGGGCTACACAGTGAGACTGTCTAGAAAACAATCAAAACCAACCAACCAAGGATAACAAAAAAGCCCAAATCCCACCCAAACACACAACAGCAGCTGGGCATGGTGGCACGTTTATCATCCCAGTGTTAAGAGATTTACTGTCACAGGTTGGCTCTGTCCCAACAAGCCACATTTGACCACTTGTCCTTAATAACTTAAAGGAGCCAAATTGATAGCAAATTGGAAAAAGATTTATTCATTGTGGCACACAGTGGTCGGAAGGACACAGAGCCCCAGGCTCTGAGTTCGAGGCTGGTGGCTTCCCCAAAGGCTTCAGTCTTTTCTTCTCTCGGGAGGATATCCTTAGGAGGAGTCAGGGCAGTTTTCCACCAGCACTCAGGGGCCTGATGCTGTGAGTTCCAGACCCATCTGGACTACAGGGTAAGAGTCTGTTTCTCAGCTGTTGACCCCAAAACACAACACTCATCTCAAAAAAGATGAGACATGGTTTATTATATTTTTTTTCCAGACAGGGTTTCTCTGTGTAGCCCTGGCTGTCCTGGAACTCGCTTTGTAGACCAGACTTGCCTCGAACTCACAGCAGTCTACCTGCCTCTGCCTCCAGAGTGTTGGGATCAATAGGCCTGTACCACCACTGCCCCACTGGAAAGACAGTTTATTCTTGAGCCAAGTATGCATGATTGCATCCCAGAAACAGACTCAGGTTAACCCAATATCTATGTTCATGGAAGCAGTGAGGAAGTTTTTATAATAACAGAGCAAAGAAAGCTATGAATCAAGGCACTTTAAAAATACACTGGTTGGGGGCTGGAGAAATGGCACAGGGTTTATGAGCGCTGGCTGCTTTCCCAGAGGTCCCAGGTTCAATTCTTAGCACCCACATATTGGTTCAAAACATCTGTAACTCCTGGGAGGGGCGGAAATCTGTGTTCTCATCTGGACTCCATGGGCACCATATGTACACACAAAACACCCCTACAGAAAATAGTAAAACATTAAAAAAAAAATACATTGGTGGAAGTAGTAAGTAGGCGGTTACAGCAAAGCAGAGAAATCCCAGCCATATGCTTCAGAGGCTGTCTGAGGGCTTTTGGTTGCTGACAGACGGGTGAGCAATGGGTGTATAGGCACTAAAGAAATTGTAAGCAGGCTCTGGTTGCTGCCTGCAACCTTATCAAAATCCATCTGCCAATCTGCCTTCGCAGACGCAACTTCTTCCCAGGAAACAAGTTAACCAACCAAAAGCCAAAAACACTGCCGAAGACAAAACAGGGCAACCTGTGTATACACGGCAGCAAGATTCAGAAGAAAATTAAACTTTGCTAAAATTTGTTTCCTCTCCATGCCTAGTGGTGTTGGCGCACACCTTTAATTCCAGGCAGGGGCAGGTGGGTCTCTGAGTTCCAGGCCAGCCTGGTCTACAGAGCGAGTTCCAGGACAGCCAGGGCTACACAGAGAAATCCTGTCTCAAAAGAAAACAAAATGAAATTGTTTGGTCCCTCTTAGGCGGAGCTACTCCACACATTACGGCGCTCTCAGAAGCGGTGGAAGAGCGCCGTGAGGGCCGGCGGCACATCCTGGTTTAGCTTTCCTAGTCCCATCGACCTCAGCACAAACCTGCGGCTCACATATTCGATTCTTTACGGGCGTCTTCCTCAATCTCGCGAGAACCCGTGCGGAAGTCTCGCGAGACTTGGGCGCCGGCGGAGAGGAGGGAGATCCGAGCGGCTGCTGCGGCGCCCGAGTGCTCGGCTGAGGTTAGTGGCAGTGTGGCTGGCCGTGCGTGTCTCGCGGGCGCTGCGCGCGCTGCCGGGCCGTGTCTGGACCACAGGACGGAGCTGTCCGCCGCGATCGGGTGCGCACACAGCCCGGGTCGGGTCCTGTCGCGCGCCTCCCCTTTTCAGGGTCTCGGGTGTCGCGCTCCCGCGGCCGCCGTGGACGACCTCCCACCCGTGCGTCCCGCTGCAGGGTGCGGGGAGTCGTTCCTGGCCCGGGGGGCGGGTGGTCCGCTGTGGGCAAGACTCCTGGATTGGGAGTCGATTATCCATTTACAACCCTGCGGGTCCCGGGGATCGAACTCAGGTTGACAGTTTTGGCGGCAAGCCTCTCTAAGCGCTGGGTCTTATGGCAAGCCCACCTTGTTTGTTATGTACTCGTTTATTTACTTATGGCGGCACTGCTGATTGAATCTAACGTGCTTCGTGCACGTTAGGGACCCACCTACCCCTCAGTTATGTCCCCAGCCCTCTTAAAACTTAATGGATCAATTAATTAGTTGTGTGTGTACGCACATGCCAGGGGTTCCAGTGGAAGTCGGAGGTCAACTTTCTCCACCGTATGGGTCCTGGAGGTGGAGCCCTGCTGGTGTGACTTGACCTAAGGGGCATGACAGGTTGAGCTGTCTCCAGTGCCCGAACCTCAACGCACAGAACCGAGGATTGAACCTCGGGCTTCGCGCATGCTTAGCAAGCAGTCACCTGTCAGCCACATCCCTCTTCTTCCTGTTTATTCTGTGGTAGGGCTTCCCAGGTTTTCCAGGCTGCCCTTGAATTTGCCACCAGCTCTGGAATTTGTCTCAGCCTCCTGGGATGAAAGACCTATGTCACCAAGTGTCAGGTTCCCAGGCTGTCCCTTGGCTGAGACCAGTGTGTACCCATCATCTCAGGTGCCATCCTGAGCAGCTGTTGCCCCGATGGGGGTGTGGCGGCGTTATGGGGTGTGTGTGGGGTGCTCCTGCTGTCTTGGAGGTTGAGGGTTCTTGTCCATACGGTACAGCTTGAGCTGAAGCTTCTGAAACTGTGGCTCCGTCATTCTAATGTATTAGCTGCTGACTTCTGTTGGCCCGAAGAGACAAAAAGTGTGGTTTTTGTTTATTTTGGAGAACAGAGGCCTGCTTTTTCCCACTGTGCCTGTCGCACCCACCTGGCCCGCCAGCTTTTGCCTTGCCATTGGGTCTAGCTGTGTCACCTGGGTCTGTCTGTCTAGCCCAGGCTGGCCAGGAACTCATGGTCTTGCCTCAGCCTCTCAAGTGCTTGGGCTGTACATTCCTTTTCTTCTCAGGGACCTTTCTCAGACTGAGAAATTCTTGCGCTCCTGTGCCACTGCCCTCTCCTCCTACCACAAGGAATCCCCATACCTCACCAGGTCTTGTCCTCTGACTTGGCGTGATATCTGTGTCAGCTTCTCCATTCCCCTGAGGAATGTGAAGTGGTTGGGCAGCCTCTAAGGCACATGCAGATGCCTTCCACACACAGGACAAGGACCACCACCCCACTGGTTCACTCTCTGTTCCCTGGCCGACTAACTGGAAGTACTAGGCAGCTCAGGTCACCTCCAAAGGTTACCTGACTACCTGGCTTTTGATAGAAGGCTGAGGAGGGTTGGAGTGCCCTGCCCCAACCACTGCCATGACTCCTGAACGCAGGGCATCATTGTTAGTTTCTGGCAAGCCAATTTCCTTCTATTGCATAAAGGACCGACTTATTCAGACTTCTCAGAATATTCTGAATCTGTCCTGTGGTCCTCTGTTCTAGAGGGACCAAATAATCAGTGAGTGTGTGTGTGCTTGTTTGTATGCAACAAGAATGAGTGAGTTAAAGGCCAATTTGTTGTCTAATCCTGGATCTGTCTGCTTTTGTTGTGAGGGTGCTCCATAGACTCCATTATTTTATTATATTTTATTTTTTTGGTTTTTCCAGACAGGGTTTCTCTGTGTAGCCCTGGCTGTCGTGGAACTCTCTTTGTAGAGCAGGCTGGCCTTGACCTCACAGAGATCCCCCTGCCTGTGCCCCCTGAGTGCTGGGATTACAGGTGTGTGTCCACTCCTGGTTTTATAGACCCCATTCTTGTAAAGGTCCTCATGTACGTGAATTCAGGGTGTGTAGGTGTCCCGGTGTGGGTCATGCGGATCAACCTGAGGCCAGCAGGCTTGGCGGCAGGCATCCTCACCCACGAAGCCATCTCTCCAGCCCCACACCAGGTAATTGTGACACCCCTCACAGCCAATAACGTCACATCCGCTCCACGCCAGTTATGCCGAGCTGAAGAGAACCCAGCCAGGGCCACAGCATCCATGTGTCGTCCTCACCTTTCTAGGACCTGGTCCTCCTTCTCGACTGGATGTCATCTGTCACTGCTTGCTGCTTAAGAACCTTGACACACTTGTTTCTTGATGTCTGCACTCCCCAGTTTTCCATTTTTCCCTAGCTCCTGCCTTCAGGCTGGCTGCTGCCTGTTGCCCTCATCTGGGTGTCTTTTGAGAATCCTGTTCTCCCTTTCCTGGACCTTTGTGCCCATGGCAATGCCATCACCAGCCCCGTGGTCAGCCTGGATCACCACATAAATCTCCATCTCACCTACTCCGCTGACTCCCTCCCTGGACCAGACCCTGTTACTCCTCTGATAAGAGCCTCTGGCTTTCCTGTTCTCTGTCCACTGCCTGTTCCTTCAGCAAGCCCACAACTAGCTGCTGCAAGTCCCCAGCTCAGCCGCGTGAACCTCTCCTGGCTATTCACCCATCTGTCATGCAGGTCCCAGCCTGTCTTATGCCCTGCAGGTTCCGCCCAGACCCTTCTCACTTCTTCCCTGGCACTGCTTCCTCTCTCTGTGACGTCACCCTCACACCGTCTCCTGCACAGCCACTGCGCAGCCACTGCGTTCCCCTTTCAGATGTCCTGAAGCATAGTGCGAGAATCCCTGTCAGTGCTCTCCACGACCCTTTAGTCTCCTGCCGTGTATCTCAGCTGCCTTCACAAGGGCTGCCCCTGGGGTGCTCAGCCGGCTCAGTCCACCAGCCCAAACCTTGCTCTCTTTATCTTCTATTTTAATTTATTTTAATTTTAATTTTTTTTCGAGACAGGGTTTCTCTGTGTAACAGTGCCCTGGCTGTCCTGGACTCACTTTGTAGACCAGGCTGGCCAGGAACTCACAGAGATCTGCCCGCCTCTGCCTCTGCTGGGATTAAAGGCGAGCGCCACCATACCCAGTCTCTATTTTTTTTTTTTTTTTTTTTGAGGCGGATTCTCTTGTAGCCTTGGCTGTCCTAGAGTTCACTATGTAGACTGTGCTGGGTTAAGAGGCATGCCTCTCAGATGTTGGGACCAAAGGGTCCTGCGCCCCCAAACCAACAGCCCCATAGCTGCTCCCTCTGCTGCTGCACTCTGCGACAGAAACAGGTTTTAATTTTTCAATACCTAACACCCTGATGCTCTTCGTAGGCCCAGTCTCTAAGGTCGCAGTGTGGAAGTGCCTGGCCATGGCCTCTCAGCAGGTACTCTCTTAATAAACTGGTGCTGCTCCTCAGTCGCCTGCTCCTTGTCTTCTCTCTTCAACCAAACACCCCGAGCCCCAGACACACCAGCATGGCCAAGTGTTGAGATGGCCACTGGTTGCATTGCTTTTCTCTCTCTCTCTCCCTCCTTCCTTTTTTTTTTTTTGAGGCAGGGTTTCTCTGTGTGGCGCTGGCTGTCCTGGACTCACTCTGTAGCCTGGGCCCCAGGTGCTGCACTCTATCCCTAGCTCCTAACTTTTTGAGACCAGGTCTCACCAAGCTGCCTAGGCAGGCCTTGAACTTGCCCTCATGCATCCTCAGGGTCTAGAATGACAGGCCTGTGGCACCAGGCTGCACTCCTTTGTTTTTTCCCAGCTGTGTCTGGGCTGGGGGCCAAAGGACCGTGTTCGCCAAACCCTTAGGCCACAGGCTAGCTGCAAAGTTGGTCTTGCCTGTCCCCCTCCCTTCCCACCCTGGCTCTGGAAGGTTGGGGTTCTACTTGAGGATGAAGCTTACACCAGTGTTTCAGCTGGCTGTGTGGCAGCATGACTCCTGGAGGTTGAGAACACAGTGTGAGGCTGGCCTGGGCCCGAGAGCGAGAGCGAGTCCTAAAGAGAAAAAGAGGGTCTCGGCAAGGTAGTGCATGGCTGTGTGGGCCAGCGCTCTGGAGTGGAGGCCAGCCTGTTCCACATAGTGAGCTCAGGCCAGCTCGGGGTACAGAGCGAGAAACTGTCTAATACAAAACAAACAACAGCTCACACACAGAATGTCTTTAAAAAGACCAGTAAAACCAAAAGTGAAAACAACAAAACAAAACAAAAACAAAAGCAAAAGAACTGAAACCAAACCCAAACAACTGTGTCAGAAGCCAGGCTTGGCCGTGTGCTGCGGGCTGAGCGGTGTCTAAAAGTGCGCCAGCAGTCAGGCTCCCAGTGTGCTGGGAGTGGCGCCATCCACATTGCCCTTCTGGCCTTTTTCCAGGGTGGCTTTCTGCCCAACTGGGGGTGGGTGAGGAGGGCGGGGCTGGACCCTGCAGGACCCGCTGTCTGAGAGACTCTGGGCAGCATCGCCTTAACAGCATCGCTGAGGCCACTGTCACCTGACTCTTCCCAGAGGATACATTTATGGGGGTGTGGCTTTGGGAGTGTGTCCCTGGGCCCCTGAGCACCTCCTCCCAGGAGCTGAAGGTCTGCCTGTCTAGTGTGCAGACCAGCCCTGACATGGTTGGTGACTTGGGGTTAAGATTTGTGGTATGGCGTCCTACAGTCTCTCTCTCTCCCTCTCTGTCTGTCTGTCTGTCCCTGTGTGTGCTCTCGTGCACATGCCATGGAGGTCAGGAAAACGTTGGGTGTCGGTTCTTATCTTTCGTTTTGTTAGAGGCACAATTTCTTGTTCAGTGCTGTGTGTGGGGCTCTGTGGCCCGTGAGCACTGGCGGATTGTCTCATCTCCATCTTGCATTTTGCGGTGGGAATGCTAGGATTAGAGACCCTCGCCCCATGTCCAGGCTTGGGGATTCAAGCGCAGGCCTTTCTGTGGCAGGCCCGGGGGTGCCACGGTGTGAGTGAAGGGCTGTGGTGCTGTACTTCTGTGGGCTCTGTAGGCAGAGCTCAGGGCCTCAGGCTTCAGTTGTCACCACAGTTATCCACTGAGTCACCTCACTTGCTCCGCTTTGAAGTTTGTTTTTAATTTTTAACTGTGTGTGTCTGTATGAGTGCAGTGCATGGGGATGCCAGAAGAGGGCTCTGGATGCCCTGGAACTGGAGTTACAGGCATTATCAGGCTGGTGTGGGTGCTGGGATCGGAACTGAGGCCCTCTGCAAGGGAGATGAACACTAATGGCTTTTACACTCTGCCCTTATTTATTTTTTTGAGATAGGGTCTTTGTATGCAGCCTTAGCTGTTCTGGGACTTGCTATGTAGACCAGACTGACCTTGGATGCTCAGAGATCTTCCTGCCTCTGAGTACTGGGATTAGTGGCTACGCCACCACAAGCAGTCTCTCTCTTTCTAATTGATTTATTATGCAGTATTCTGTCTGTATGGCCTGTATGCACATCTACATGCCAGAAGAGGGCACCAGATCTCACTGTAGATGGTTGTGAGCCACCATGTGCTTGCTGGGAATTGAACTCAGGACCTTTGGAAGAACAGCCAGTGCTTTTAACCTCTGAGCCATCTCTCCAGCCTAGTTTTTTTGTTTGTTTGTTTTCATATTACTCAAGCTCTCCTCACCCTAATGTAGCTGAGCTGAACTTCTGGTCCTCCTGCTCCTACCTGCTGATATCATTGAATAGACATAACCTGCGGCATGTTTGTGCCTCATTTCCTCTCCACAGCGATGCGAGCTGTGGCTAGGTTGATGTTGAACGTGGGGGTTGACTCCTTAGGGCCTTAGGGGGGTGGGCTGTGCTAGCAGACAGCGTGTGAGGAAGCTGGCTCTAACTTTCGCTTCGTCTCCCAGGAGGCGCGTGGCCATGGAAGACCTCGGGGAGAACACCACAGTCCTGTCCACCCTGAGGTCGCTGAACAACTTCATCTCTCAGCGAGTAGAGGGAGGATCAGGCCTGGGTGTGTCGGCCCCTGCCTCGGGGTCCCTGCAGCTGCAGTATGAGCAGAACATGCAGGTGAGTGGCCCGCCGGGTGGCTCTCTGGAGTACAGCTGGCCTGGGTGGGGCCAAATCAAGCTCTGTGTGTTGGGGTTGGGTCAGCATGAGCTTGGTGTGGAGGCCACATGAATGTCCTGCGAACACTCATTTATCAACTCAAGGAGGAGCTGGAGACCAGCGCCCGTCCTGACCCTGCTGGCTAGAGGCTGCCTTGGTTGGCCCCTGGAGCCTGAACTCAGCTTCTCACACTTGGGAGACATGGACTTTACCAACCGAGTCATCTCCCATAGGATACTCTGTCTGTCTAATCTATCTATCTGTATCTATCTGTCTATCTATCTTTGTTTATTTGCTCATCTATCCATCTGTCTGTCTGTCTATCTATGTATCTATCTATCGAGACAGGTTCTCATTATATAGCTCTGGCTGTTCTGGAACTCACTGTGCAGACCAGGCTGGCTTCGTACTCACTGAGATCCATCTGCCTCTGCCTCCCGAGCAGATAAAAGGTGTGCACTGCGCCTGGCCCTCGAAAGGGGTGACTTTAACTGGCAAAAAGAAGTTTATTGTGATTTGTGGTCCTATTTTACTTCATTCTAGTTCCTGGGAATGCTCCCGTGAATACAGTCCCAAAGGGCCAGGGCTCCTGGAGGAAGGGCATCAGTTATGGGTAGAGCTTGTGGGCCCCAAGGATAGCAGCGATATTTGTGCCTCTACTGGTCCTGGCAGCACACCAGGCTGCTCCCAGGCTTCCTCGCTCACCCTTCTTTCCTTCCTCTGCTCTGGCTGGAGCTGTTTTGGGAAGCTGGGAGCTTCAGTTGCTCTGGGAGCCCTGGTGACACTCATGCTCCGCCCAGCAAATTGGACAGTGTTTGTTGACCGAGCCACCATCGTCACAGCGCTAGCCTGCACCCAGCCTTTTGGTGGCAAACCTTGTCTTTCATCTCGAGACTAGGTCTTTAATCACAGTGTCTTTTTGGGTGTTAAATCACCCTCCCTCCCCTCACCCCTTTTCTTGGTAGCACTGGGAATTGAACCCAGTGTCCTGTGCATGCTCTTCAATCTACCGCTGAGCTATATCTTCAGCTTTATTTAATTTATTTTTTTAAGAGGATTTGCTTTATTTATGTGAGTAGTGTTTTGCCTGCGTGTGTTTGTATTCCATGCCTGGTCCTCTCCATAACAGCGAGTGCTGTAGGTAGTGAACCATCTCCCCAGCCCTGCACCCTCAGCTTTAAGCCATTGTTTTCTGAGGTGATGCTGCTGATAGGTGGTAATTGAGTCTGATCACTAGTAAAATAAGGAGATGGTAATTTTTTTTTTTTTTTTCAAAAAGACTTGCTCAGATGTGAGGGGGATCTGGCTTCGACATGTCACCCCATTGATCGCCAGGGTTGATTCAGCTCATCTGGATGGCTAGGCAGGTGTCCCTCTCCTCCCTCAGCACTCCATGTGTGTTCCTCCCAAAGCTGTGTGCTCCCCAAATAGAGGAGGACCGGTCTTCGGTCAAGGATATATGAGTAGCAGGAACCTGCTAGAACCTCCAAACAAAAAGACTTTGCTCTTGAAAAACAAAACAAAACTAAGCAAAACAAAACAAAAAAAAATTGGCTTCCCTCCTTCCCTTCCTCCTTTCCTCCCTCCTTCCCTCCCTTCTTTCCTCCCTTCCTCCCTCCCTTCTTTCTTCCCTCCTTCCTTCCCTTCTTTCCTCCCTCCTTCCCTCCCTTCTTTCCTCCCTCCTATGACTGAGCCAAGGGCCTTGTGCACACTCAGTAGGCCCTTCATTCCTGAAGTTCATCTCCAGCCCTATCTTTAAATTAAAAAAAATATTTATTTTTATGTACGAGTGATCTGTTTTCACACACCTAGAAGAGGGGATCTGATCTCAGTACAGATGGTTGTGAGCCACCAGGTGGTTGCTGGGAATTGAACTCAGGGCCTCTGGAAGAGCAGGCAATTACTTTTATCTGCTGAGCCATCTCTCATCTCTCAGTCTTTACTTTTTATTTCAAGATGAGTTCATTACATTGTTTAGGTTGGCCTTGAATTTACTCTATCCTAGGCTGACCAGGAACTTGAGGTCCTCATGCCTCAGCCCATCTGACATGGAGTCCCTGCTGCTCAGTCAGTCGCTTCCTTGGGCTGGTACCAAGGCCTTGTGCTGCCCCTCAGGGTGTGTTCAGTCTAGGGCACCATTTGTGGCTGCTCTTGTCCTTCCCAGGTGCCATGCTCTTTGTTTTTAATTTGTGTGTTTATTTTTGAGCAGGTTCTCACTATGTAGTCCTGGCTGGCCTGGAACTCACTTTGTAGACCAGGTTGTCCTTAAACTCATGGAGATCCACCCACCTCTGTTTTCAAAGTGGTAGGATTAGGGGCGAGCCTCACCATGCCTGGTATGTATAGTTCTTTTTGTCCTGTTCCGTTCCCTTGAGTTCATGGACATAGGGACAGAGGCAGGTCAAAGCTGGTGCAGGGAGTCTGGAGGTAAAGAGGCTGGATGACAAGGCATGCCAAGCCTCTTTTCTTCATTTATGTATTTTAAATTTATTATTATTATTGTTATTATTATCATCATCATCATTAGTATTATTCATTTTGGTTTTTTGAGACAGGGTTTCTCTGTGTAGCCTTGGCTATCCTGTAACTCACTCTATAGATCAGGCTGGCCTTGAACCCGCAGAGATCTGCCTGCCTCTGCCTCTCAGGTACTGAGATTCAAGGTGTGCGCCATAATGCCAGGCCTATGGCTTTTTTCTTTCGTGTGGGTGATTAGGATCTGAACCTAGAACCTCACACTCATGTGGTGCTTAGTTATTTTTCCTGTTGCTATAATGAAATTACCTGACCAAAGCAACTTAAGGAAGAAAGAGTTTATTCTGTTGAAGCTCAGGGTGGAGAAGTCAAGGCAATAGGAGTGTGAAGCAGCTGCTCACATCACACCGCATCAGGAAACAGAGGGGCGGAGGCATGTTGCTTTTCAGCCCTTTCTCCAGGGTCTCACATAGGGAGTGGCACTGCGCTTGGGCGGGTCTACATCCCTCAGCTCAGCATGATCCTTCACAGAAGTGCTCCTGGTCGCAATAGACCCCGTCAGGTCGACAGCTCATTGCCTGCAGCAGGAACTGTTGGACTGACCCTAGTCCCTCTTCCTTTGTCACCTTTTTTGCTGCCTCCCCCTCGTCTCCAAAAGGAACTCAGGCTTAGAAAGGTGCCTTGCTGGGACAGGAGCTTGGGCAGTGTGCATGGAGTTCAGACATCCACCTCTCTCACCCCCCCCCTTCCTTTCCTTCTTTATTTTTTGAGGCAAGATCTTGCTGTACAGTTGTCCTGTTGCCTCAGCCTCCCGAGTAGGCAGTAGGTTGTCACTGCCTTATTTGATGTGCTTACTGAGCCTTCTCTTTTCTCTCTGGATACCAACTGCTCAGCTGGAGGAGAGAGCCGAGCAGATCCGTTCGAAGTCCTACCTCATCCAGGTGGAGCGGGAGAAGATGCAGATGGAGCTGAGCCACAAGAGGGCTCGAGTGGAGCTGGAGAGAGCCGCCAGCACCAGTGCCAGGAACTACGAGGTGCGCCCTGCCGGCCCCAGGAGGCAACGGGCTGTGTGCGGCACCTGTCATACTCCCGGTCTGGGACCCAGCTGGGGCAGAGGCACCAGGGCATTCTTCTGTGACCACCTGATGCTAGCATGTTGGAGAAGGGTGGCCTGAGGTGGGGGCATTGCAGAGGGGGCTCAGGGATCCTGCGGTGTGGGCAGCCTCCGACTGGCTTCTGCTTTCTCTTATTCCAAAAGAATTGCAGTGCAGAGCTGGGAGAACTTCTAGGGGTTGTGGGGACAGGCTCAGGAAGTTGCAGGCTTGCAGAGAGCCTTGCGGGTCTATGTTGCAGCTTACTAGAGCATCCTGAAAATGCCCCTGTAAATGGAGTAGGCTACTGGGGAGTGCAACCCCATGAATTGGAGTGTACAAGGGAACTCTTAATTTACTATGTGTGTGTGTGCGCACGCACACATGTAAAGGCCATAGGGAAATTTGGTGTCATCCTTAGGAATGCCACCTTCTCTTTTGAGACAGGGTTTCTCCTAGGCTGCTGGCCAGTGAGCCTCAGGGACCCTCCTTTCTCCGCCCCCACTGCTAAGATGAAATGCATGCCCCGTTCATTATACTCTCGACTTGTTATGTGAGTTCTGGGACCAAACTGATGTCTTCAGGCTTGCAAAGCCAGCACTACCAGCCAAGCCGCACTCAGCCTCTGCCTCAGGTTTTTTTTTTTTTTTTTTTCCCTTGAGACAGGGTTTTTCTGTGTAGCCCTGGCTGTCCTAGACTCACTTTGTAGACCATGCTGTCCTCAACAGAGATCCACCTGCATCTGCCTTCTGAGTGCTGAGATTAAAGACGTGTGCCGCCACCACCCGTCCTCCCTGCCTCAGTGTTATTACTACTTTTGCTGGGGCTTTCTAGGACTCTGATTAGTACGTGAGTGCCACCGTGACTCAGGTTGTGCATCAGAAATCAAAGTCTGTGACCTTCCTTTCTTCCCTGTGACTTCATCTGCCCTGTTCTTGTCTGATGTGCCCAGCATAGTTTTTCTTGTCCTGGTGTGACTGGCTGCCATCTTCCTTGGTGTGTCTTTGGTTGTGTGGATTTAAGTCTGGGGTGTCATGGTGCTGTCTTGTCCTTTGTTAGGGTCCTGTGTTAGTTACTTTCCTTGTTGCTGGGACAAAATGTCTGACTGGGAGGAAGGGGTTATTGGGCTCACAGTCTGAGGGTGCACAGTCCATCGTGGTGGGAAGTCATGGCGGCAGGAACAAGGCAGATGGTCATGCTGCATCCACAGTCAGTAAAGCAGGGAGAGAAGGATGCTGCTGCTCAGCCTTTTTTCTTTTTATTTAGTCAGAGACCCCAGACTGGATCAGACTGCCTGTTTCAGGGTGGGTCTTCCTTCTTCTGGTAAACCTCTGTGGAAACCTCCTCATGGACATCCCTGAAGGTGTGTCTTCTGTGCTGATCTGAATCTTGCCTAGCTGACAAGATTAGCCGTAACAAGTAGATCTGTCCCACCGGGCCTATGTCCTTTGCTGGTCTCCAGTGTGCAGTGCTGATGGCCTCGTGGATGTGGAGGGCATGGGAGTGAGTGAGGGAAGGCCCCTTTTGGGGAGAAATGGTGCAGCAGTAGTGACAAAGAGAGGCCTTGGGCCTCAGGATGCAGCAGTAGTGAGAAAGTGAGGTCTTGGCCCTCTGAGGCCCAGCTACCTTCTCAGACTGTCCTTGGAGTCCTGACACCTATAGTGGCTTTTCTGAGACAGCTTATTTGACGGTGGGTAGATAAGACGGGTCAGGTGCCCCTCCCACCTTGAAATAGCTGCTAGGGGTGAGATGGAAGGTCTGAGGGCCTGTCTGAAGGATTCTCTTTCTGTGTTGGGCTGGCAGCGTCAGTAGAGTGCTTACAGGCTCTGCCAGTATTCTGGCCCATCCCTCCCCCCTTAGTCACAGAGCAGGCCTTTCTGACTTGCAGAAGGGTCTTCCTGTCTTAAGGCTGTACTTGCAGTTGCTCTTCTCATGGGTCCTTTCAAGGTGTGTTCAGCCTTCCTTCTCCCTATGGGCTGCAGCCCTGTGTGTGTGCACTGGGCCTGCCGAGGTTGGGGGCTGCAGCTCTCTGTGTGTGTGTGTGTGTGCACTGGGCCTGCCGAGGTTGGGGGCTGCAGCCCTGTGTGTGTGTGTGTGTGTGTGTGTGTGTGTGTGTGTGCACTGGGCCTGCCGAGGTTGGGGGCTGCAGCTCTCTGTGTGTGTGTGTGTGTGTGTGTGTGTGCACTGGGCCTGCCGAGGTTGGGGGCTGCAGCTCTGTTTTTGACACAGGTGACATCAGCCCTCCTTGAGCAGGACTGGCCGCTGAAGTTCCTGGCGGCTCTGAGAAGGAGCTTGGGTAGGTGGTTCCTGCTGAGGGCAGAGTGACCATTCTTAGGCCTGTCTTCCCCAGACTCAGCTGGAGGAGTCCAAGGCTGACATAAGCCTCTTGCCGCTGACGGTAGTCATGATGTGTGTCTGGGCCCTGAGAGTGTGTGTGATGGACACTCGGGGCAGTAATGGTCTGCCCGTGGGCTGCCATCCACGTCCCTTCCTGGCTGTAGTTGCCTTCTCCGTGGGGAGTCTCAGCGCATTTTAATGACAGCCTGAGCATGGCTAGACAAGATCTGCTGGCGCTGCAGAAGCTCAGCTTCATTCCAAGGTCGAGTCTGAATTGTAGATTTTCCTTGCTTTCTCTCCTCTCCAGGGCGGGTGGCAGTGCGCAGAGGGAGTGACGAGTGTGTATCGGGCTCCATGCCAACGGCTTCTCAGAGTGGGAGTCACCATGCTGCCACACCAGGAGCCCCGGCAGCCGGGTCTCTTGTCTGGTCCTGCCAGTGTCCTTCTGTGACTGACAGGCCTGCCCGGCTCCTCTGTGTATTACACTTCCTGACCGAGCTCTTCCTTCTCCACAGCGCGAGGTGGATCGCAACCAGGAGCTCCTGGCACGCATTCGCCAGCTCCAGGAGCGTGAGGCCGAGGCGGAAGAGAAGATGCGGGAGCAGCTGGAGCGCCACAGGCAGTGCAGGCAGAGCCTGGAAGCTTCCAGCCAGCAGCTTCGGGAACGGGAGGATGGCCTGGCTGCAGCCAAGGAGGTGAGCTCGGGCCCGTGCCTGGGGCCTAGACTCAGCCTGCTGCAGATGGCTGTTTCCAGAGACAGAAGTGCGAACGTACCCGTAATTCATCGTGGGGACAGCAAGACGTCTTCATTTGATTTTTTTCATCTGTTTGTGTGTGTGAGCATGACCACATACGGGTGGGTACATGTGCGTGCATGTGCCTGTGGAGGCCGGACAACAACCTTGGCTGTTTTCCCTCAAGTGCCATTCACCTTGTTTTTGCTTTACAGGTTTACCTTTGTTTCTAGTTATACATAAGCAGGTGGATATGTGCACATTAGTGCAGGCGACCACAAAGGCCAGAAGAGGGCATCAGATCCCCTGGCACTGGAGTTAAAAGCAGCTGTGAGGGCCTGTTGCGGGTGCTGGGAGCTTACCTTGGGGTCTCTGTATGATAGCACATGCACTCAACTGCCAAGCCATCTCTCTAACATCCCTCCTTCTCCCGAATTGTATTTTGAGGCAGTGTCTCTCTCTGGCCTGGAACTTACCAATTAGGCTAGTCTGGCAGGCCAGAGGACTATAGCATGCATTTGTCTCTCTCTCTGGTACTGGGATTACAAGCACCAGTATAACAGCTTCTTACGTGAGTTCTGGGGGTGGAACCCAAGCTCTTGTACTTGCATGACAAACACGTTACAACTAAGCCCACACCTTCATTTGAGCGACTTAATTTTGGGGATTGTCATTCCTAGTAAAGACCCTGACTTTCAACTCTACAGGGTCAATGAAAATGTTGAAAATAGGTGTTTTTTGTTTTGTTAGAGGCACGGTCTCACTTTGTAGCTCAGGCTGGGATGACAAGAGTGACCTGACCCACGTTTCTGACTTTGGTCCTTGTGAATATAAATGTGAACTTAAGAGTTGGCCAGTCCATTGTCTTTGTGTCCCCACGTACGTGTGGTACTTGGCTTCCTGTGTGCACCCACTGGCTTCCCCAGTGTTGCTTTGTTTGGGCAAACTCCGTGCAGGATGACAGGCCTCTGCGCACTTCTCTAGCTGCTGCTGTCACTTGATGGGCTGTTAGCAGCCACTGTGACTGAGGTATTGATGTCCGCATCATCTTGTCTGTCATGGATAGGTAATGTTCTGGAAGTCCTGTTTCCTTTTTTCCCCAGAAGATGTAAGTAGGTGCCTGTGGATCTGCATGTCTCTGATTGCCAGCGAGTTCTGTTGACATCAGAGACTGCCTTTGAAGCGGGGTACAGGTGTGGCGCAGTCCAGGGGAGCTGGTGCTGCTGTGTTTTGGAGGTTGCTGAGTGTGGGTATGGAGGTTTCCGGACCCCCCAGGCCTCCCGCTCTTCTTCTGTGGTGTTCAAGATCACAGGTGCCGGAAGGGAACAGCTGAGAGCGCCAGGGGCCGGCCGCGGGCGTCATTGGTATTCCGTCCCAGTGCCTTCTCCACTTGATAGATCCTCGGAGCGGGCTGTGGGTTATTTTTGCCTCTGCAGCGCCGGGGAGCATGTTAAGGTTGTTGGCGCATCTGTCTTCCAAAGCAAGTCTTGGCAGGAGGGGAGCCGTGATCTGTTTCCAGAGAGTGGGCTCTTGCTTCACATGGGCACAGGCCTGGCCTGGGTCCTTGGCCCTTCCGTGGTTGAGGAGGCCCTGGCACGCCCCTCGGTGAAGAGTGGAGGGGCTCAGCGGCCCCTCCTCAGGGAAGCACCTACCTGTCACACGGTCCAAAGTCACAAGCCTGCCACTGCAGTTTTCAGTCCTGTGCCCCAGTTTATCACTGCCCCAGCCCTGCCCTGCAGTTTTGCAGTTCGTCTGTCCACTTGCTGGTGCTCACACCTCCCCCGAGACGGCTGCCCTTCCTTAGGCAGGCTGTCCCTGTCGCAGCGCCTAGTACCCTGTGTCCATTCCTGAATTCAGAGAGTCCTAAGAGGTGGTACTCGCCGTTAGATGATTTGATGTGTTTTTGCCTGTGTGAGTGTGTTGTTACAGGTATGCATGCTCTATGCAGGTGCACACACATGGTGCGTGTTTAGAGACACGAGGTTGCTGTTGAGGGTCTTTTCAGTCACTGTTCACCTTGTTTTGTTATGTGGGGTCTCTCAGCAGTCCGTGAGCTGTCTCTGGTTTGATTGGCTGTCCAGCAAATTCCAGGACTCTGTCTGCTTCCTTGGTGCTGGGATTGCAGTTGTGTGGTGCCACACCTAAGTGTCCTAGTCAGGGTTTCTGTCGATGTGACAACACTCTATGACCGAAGCAACTTGGGAGGGAAGAGTGTTTCTCAGCTTCATAGAGTACTGTCCATCATGGAGAGAAGTCAGGGCAAGAGCTCAGGGCAAGAGCCTGGGGGCAAGAACTGAGGCAGAAGCCATGGAGGAACCCTGCTCACTGGCTTGCTCCTCATGGCTTACTCGGCCTGCCTTACAGCATGCAGGACCACCGGCCCAGGGTGGCGCCCCACCCCAAGTGAGCTGGCTGTCCCATGTCAATCACCAATCAAGAAAATGCCCCGTAGACTTGCCCTCAATTGGTTTTCCTTCATCCAAATGACTGTACCCTTTTGTCTAGTTGACATAAAACTAGCCAACACACTAGCTTATTCCATGGGCTCTGGGGATCTGAACTCAGGTCCTCATGTTTGTATAGCCAGCCTTTACTGATGGAGCCTTTTCTTCGTTTCCTGATTAAAAAGAGATTTATTTTATTTTATTATTTTATTTTATGTGAGTGAATGCTTTGCTCGTTTGTATCTAAGTATACTACATTCATGCCTGGTGCCACAGAGGCCAGATGAGGGCATCAGGTTCCCTGAAATGGAGTTATAGATGGTTGTAGACCACTGTGTGGGTGCTGGGAACTGGGCCTGGGTCCTCTGGAAAAGTGGACAATGACTTTAACCCCTGAGCCAAATCTCTAGTTCCATGATTTTTGTTTCTTTTTGCTTTTTTGAGACAAGGTTTATCTGTGTAGCCTTGGCTGTCCTGGACTCAGTATGTAGGCCAGGCTGGCCTCAAAAAAATCCACCTGCTTCTGCCTGAGTGCTGGGATTACAGGTATGTGCCACTGAGCCGGGCTTTACTTACTTACTTACTTACTTACTTACTTACTTACTTACTTACTTACTTACTTAATTGATTGGGAGGCAGGGTCTCACTGTGTGGCCCAGGCTGTCCTCAGACTTACTGTTTAGCTCAGCCTCACACTTGCATGCCTCCAGCCTCAGGCTCCCCAGGATTATAGCTGTGTGCACTGTTGTCTGGTTTGAGCATGTTTTCTCCTAAATTCTAATTCTTTGAGCTTTGTTCTGGCTAGCATGTGTGATATGTGGACGGGTGCATCTGTGAAGGTCCGAGGACAGCTTTGGAATTCTTTCTGAGTGGCAGGTGCTTTCATTGCTGAGCTGCCCCATCAGTCCTGTGAGGGTTTTTTTTTTTTTTTTTTTTTTAAGACATGGATTTATGTAGTCCTCAAACTGGCTATGCAGCCAAAGATGACGTTGAGAGAATTTTGTTCCTGGGGAATAGTACTAAGCTGTGTCTCCTTCCCTTCTAAGGTACAAATGACAAACCAGTTACACCTGGGGAAAGAGTGAATTTGTTAGGTTTCCTTGTAGAGCAGAGATGACAGGGCACTGACAGGAATGTGGTGACCACTCAGCAGCCACACTGTAAAGTCTGGACCCAGTCTGGACGGTGGCTTCTTCACAGCTGTGCAGATGGAGCCTTCTTTCTTTAGTCCTTCCCAGCCTATGTATTCTAGCCCCTCCCCCAGGCCCCGGGCCTGTGCAATTAATGCAGAACTGAGCACAAGTGTGTGGGAAGAGTGGCTGGAGTGGCTGTGTATTCCGGAGAGCTCCAGGGACCCTCTCCACCTTTCTGTAATGCACTGTCTACCATCACCAAGCCCAGCCATTGCAGCCGAAGTCAGGAAAGCAGCAGCTGTGTGCTTGATTAAGTAGTATTGTACCTCTGATCCTTCTGCCTCCACCTCTCCCTGTTCCAGTGTTACAGGCCACAACATCGCACTCTGGTTTTGGCCATGTTCTCAATACCATCGTAGTCTATGTGTTTGATAAGGTGCAGAGCTGCTGTAATGTGGGGTTTTCCAAGCCAGCTACCCATATGACTTGGGGTGGAACCCTGCTACATCCCAGCGGCTTGTGGTGCACGGGGAGACCAATGCTGTAGCCTGTTTGTAGAGGGTGCAAGTGGAGCTGGTAGATCCAAGCAGGGCCACCCAGCATCACTCACCCCAGCCCCTCACTGGGGGATTCTAGGCAGGGGCTCTACCACTGAGCCACACCCAGCCCCTCACTGGGGATTCTAGGCAGGGGCTCTACCACTGAGCCACACCCCAGCCCCTC